TTACAATTTAACTGGAGAATAATTGTTGTTAGAATATGAAATTACAAGTTCATAAATTTCACCCAACGATTCAGCAACAGTCTAACGAGTGTGTGAACAAACATCACACTTCCACGTTCGCGTTTTTATCTCCATTAAGAATGACTCGAATCGCAGCTGCGTTCATCGATCAAGCGTCCTTGTTTCCTTCTCGTCGACGAGCATTCACCGTGAACCAGTGACCACTCGCGTCGAGCGTCACGAGTGCTGCTTTTTCACCACTTCCTTCTACCGAATGCTGTATCGAGTGAATCCTTTTGCGTCCTTTAATCTGCACGCATCGCACCGCGTGTATACGTGACGTTGACGATTTGAGGACGCTGTTGAACGTCAAACGCATGCCCGCACAGCCAGGACTCTCTAATGGAGTGTCCTGCCAGGTCGAGTGGCTCCGTTGCATATCATTTACCTGTTACGAGCAAACGCAGTTACACACTCGACATAACGCGAATGCTTTTAACCGCGTGTCCTTCGTCAATGGCCACACGAATCGAGGAATCAATTCTATGAGACGTGCCTCTTAACCCTTTTAAGACGGTGTTAATCTGGGACAATTGGAGACACTTTTAATTGTGTTTAACATTTTATTTTTATGAAGGATATTCACTTTTATGCTAGAAAATATGGAAAACCAATCAAAGTGATGATATCTATTTAGGCGTACCAATTTTAATTGGGTATTCTCGAATTTTCCTTTATCTCTATAATTTTTTGAAAAGTACATCCGCTTAGAGAACTCTTCAGTTTCTCAGGGCAGAAAATAAGTCATAAAGCCAAGTAAAATAAGTACGATAGATTGTCACTAAAAGTGATTGGTTTTCTCTGAAAATTGAAAATGTAAAAAAAAAATCACGAAAACAAAGAAAATCGAACCACTAAAACCACTGTAAATTTCGAAAGTACCAATTTTCCCATATAAACCGAACCCCAGTTTACTCGCCAATGGTAACTTGGTCATATCGTGCCATCAGTTTTCTCTTCACTCGCGAGATATTCAATTACACCTCGATTCTCGGAGCAGTTAAGTCAGCAAGCTAATGTGACTATAATAAATAAATCAGGTTCACGACGATTTCAGGTCAGGAAACGATTAGTTTCGCTGTCAGTCGCGTAGCTACATTGGGGAGGATGACGATGTCCAGAATTGGGGTCGAGGTCTAATCCCAGGGGTTTCCCTCTCAATGATGTCGTGCACGAGGAATTTTGGAGAAAGTTGTATCGTAAGTTGATATATGGCAGTGAAAAATATGAAATCAGTGTGTAAATAGCTGTCCGAATAGCCTCCAGCTTTGTATGGTATACTGGATACGAGTACAGTGTGGGTGTCTGTGATTTATCGTGCCGGAGAATTGTAGCTGCCATTAAACAGCTTGTACTTGAGATATTACGATTAATACTCGACGTTCTTTCGTAAGAATTTTGTACGTAGAATAGCGCAGTCCTCGTGTAACCTGGATTATGTAAGAATTATTTAGTTAACGTAACGAAGCTGCTTTCGACACGATTAACCGTAGTATAGTTGACACTTTAAAAATAGTTTGGAATTATGTTACAAACAATTTGATTTATCAATCCGATATCAAACCACACGATGTTCCTCGAAATTTTACACCTATACACACAGCGACAAACCTTCCTCGCAGCTTTTATGCTTTGCTTAACAACATCCATTTACCCTAACACCGAAACGGTTGCTACATAAGCCCCGAGCTCCTTATTTCCGAGCTTCTATAAGCTTCCACTCGTTACCACTCGGAGGAGGATGCATTGTTGTTTCGGACTGAGCGATAAGCGACGTTCCTGAGAAAAGATGGCCGAGCAATAGCGACTGTGATCCTCGAAAACCAGCTAAGGTCCGACGTTCTTTGCGATAAAGACGCAGATTATCCACAGAACGATACCCAAATCTCGTGAAACGACAAAAAAAAAAAAGACACATCACGCTCACTCTTCCATTTCATCTCACCGAAGGGAGAAACTTGTACGACAAAACTAGCCACGACCACCCACCACCGTTATACACCACCGCAGTAACAAAACAATTCACGCGCGAATTACACTGAAGCATCGGAAACGACAAAAAGAGAGAAAAAGATTAGACTCCTACGAACGAGAGAGGAACAATGCGGAGAAAACGTAGGCGACCAAGGATAGAGAAAAGCTTTCCCCGAGTGACGACGTTTTCTCGGAATGGTTAGCTCGGCTGGTCAGAAAACTGGCACGGAAGAAAGAAACGGGAGGATGAGGGCGGAGAAACGAGAGGCGTATTACTCCGTTTCCTTGGGCCTCTTAGGAGCACTTAGCGAGCTGTACGAAAAATTTCATGCATACGAATGCACGAGGAATTCTAGATGCACGCCGTTTTCACCGCGCGTTTCGAATTAAGAGACGGCGCGAAAGCGCAACGAGAGACAAGCAGAGAGAGAGAAGAAGGGTTGCGCGGTCGGGTGCGAGAGAAGGAGGAAAAGCGTCGAAAAACAAAAAAATAAAACGATAAGAATTATGAAAAAAAATGTAAGAACAGCAAAATATTGGCCGGATTACGAGAGCAACATGATTTCTGTCTTGCAGGCGGCGCGGAGACAGACGCGGTACAGGCGATCTTGGCCAGATACCTGCAGAGACGTCTTCAGGGCTCGCAGCTGTCGACGCCGCCGCCGCCGGCGGTCCTCTTCAGTAGCAATAACCAGGCGAGAGTGAGACAGGCGAATCAGAGGACTGGCAGCAATGCGTTGCCGAGGAATGTCAGCGCGAAAGAGGGGCGAGAACGGGTGGAGGATTACGAGGATTACGAGGACGACCTTGAGGGCTTCGAGGACAGCGAGAGGAGCAGGACCAGATTCGATCTGTTCGCTGGTAAATCCTTGAGCCAAGCTCACATTCCACCGTTTCTGGATTTGTCTGTCGCATACCTTTGCCATTTCGGGATTGTCGATCGGTTTTCTGGGAAGAGAGTGATATGTCACGATGAAATGATAGCGATTACGGTGTAAATCGATCACTGTCCTCACTTGCACGTTGTAATTGCCGAGTACATTCCATTTTTTTTTTTTTTCTTTTAACAACAGTTCGATGTTGACGACGTGTAGAATCTCTGTGGAAAATAGAGTCGAAGGATTCTATGACAAGTTCTCTGCGCGTATTATGGTGTTTAGTCGATGGTGGATAACCGCATTAGCATTTAGGCGAGAAGTACATAACTGCGAGCTGCGTACGAGTTTAGAAATTAGAATTGAAAGTTTGCAGAACGATGTATAACGTGGTTGGCAAACGGTCGTGTTGGATAGTTTAGTAGCACAGAGCTAACAGAAGATGTCACCCTTTCGATTTTTACCGTGTAAGTTTAGCCTAACCTAGTTATCGATCACACGAAGCTTTCGAAATGTTTAGAGTCGCTATTACGAGAAAGTGCTAAAATAGCAATTTTCACAATGATTCTACATCTTTGATTTCCCCGGTCGTTACGACAGGCGCAACTATTGCATCACGTTAAAACTGATTTATCGTTAGATTATTAAATTCTCGAACGGAATGGCTACCTAGGTGGCACATCACCTTGAAAGCAAATCGAACGTGCCTTGATTTACGTCCTCTTCTTGGCGTCTTTCCACGATAAAACGGTATAGAGTAGCTTCAAAGTTATTACGAATTCATTCGCGGGTACGTTTTCAAGTTTGAATCGCGAGCCTGCGATTACTCGTCTGCAATTACCACGGTTAATCCGGTTATCCCGTTATTTAGCCGGACCACGGCTGTTATTACACGTAAAATACAAGGATCGACGGATTATTGAGCGGGCCGGTGTGTAACCGTGCAACGCGGATAATCAAATAAAACGAGGGCTAATCGGACAATCGAAGATAACGCGCGGCCCCGATCGAACGGCGCAGACATCGGTACATTAATATCGCAATATTCGCGCAGGCCTATTACTAAGCCCAGAATAACGTTTCCAGTTCGCTCGCCCCGGCTAATCATTTCCGACGGAACTGATCGAATTTGTCCCCCTCTGATAATTTATTCATTCTGCTCTTCCGTGAAATTATTATTAGACGGTGAATCGATGGTTCTTTGTTTACTGTGTGCCGAGGAAGATTTATTGTCGTTGTAACGATTTTTAGAAGAAGAATTCACGCTATTTCAACCCTTTGACGCTCACACTTTTGTCAACTTGATGTCCCAGAGATGATCAATTTTATTTTTTTTTTTTTTTTTTTATTTTCTTCTAGGCGTGCAAGAATAAGTTTCTCGTTATTTATAATGCTGTAACAGAAAGTATAACGCGGTATGGAAAGTGAAGGAAAATAATTAAACAAAATTTTAGTTTTAAAGGGTTAAGTGAATTAGGATTCTCTTCTGATCATATCTGATAGGGTCTGAAAAACCCAACGCTATAATTTTCTTTCTGTTGTTTTTACAATTAAGAAAACATTAGCAAAAAGAGGATTCAATTTATCTCACCTTATCAATTTCAAATTTCCTTCATCCTTAGATCCACCCATTTCTACTATTAAGCTATCATTACCATTTTGAATTAGGACGTAAAGATTCCTCGTAGTCATTCGGGAAACAGTAAAATTAACAAAGAAAATTGAATACAATTTGTACAATTTTCAATTGTATTCACGACGACAAAAAAATGGTACACCGAAGAAACCCTATTTCTCGATGCTCAGACATTTCGAAAAAACGAAGCAAGAAGTCCAAACCACAATTACATACCTTCGCCATCTGACACGGAATTCCGCGGTCGATTCACAAGGTGGAGCGAGACGGTCGCTGTCCTCCGCTTCGAAATTACTCACCTGCCGCGTGTAATGCGGCGACAAGGGTGTAGAGGAGCGTGCATTGACGTCACGACGCTGCCTCTGTTCCGTGCCGTTCCGAGCTCGTGTTGAATCGTTCGACAGCGGAACACGCCCGTCCTGCTGGCTGCACACTTCAGATCCCCCGCATGTCGTTTCGACGCGGGAATGCGTTCGTCCGTCACAAATGCCCCTCGTTCGCTACGCCGCGTTTCTCCGCCGAGTAGGGCGGATTTCGCGTCTCGATCCACGGCTGTGATCGAGCCCTGACACCATCGTTCCTCCCCTTTGTCGCAAACGGAACCGTGGAAAACGCGGTTCGACGATCACGGGAACAAGTCTGCCTGTTGACGAAACAATTTTCAACGAGGCCCTTCACAAGCGTCTTCTATTATCCTATTCCTCGCGACGATATTGATTTTCGTGCGATATTTTTACCGCTCTTTGGTAGATTTTTGGACTCTCGATTCGATTTAAAATTGGACTAAAATGGAAAGAGTTTGTATAATAGATGGACAGAAGTTTTTTTTTTTTAGAGTTTTATTGGATATTGCATTGTTACTCTTTTTTTTTTTTTTTAGAATTGCATTGAATATTGTGTTATTAATTTCAATTTATTTTTTATTCTACATAGAGTTGCAGTAATTTTGCAATTTTTCATTGTTTACTATATTTAATTGCTGTATTATTAATCTCAGTGTTAGATTTTTGGACGCTCGATTCGATTTAAAATTGGACTAAAATGGAAAGAGTTTGTATAATAGATGGACAGAAGTTTTTTTTTTTTTTAGAGTTTTATTGGATATTGCATTGTTACTCTTTTTTTTTTTTGAATTGCATTGAATATTGTGTTATTAATTTCAATTTATTTTTTATTCTACATAGAGTTGCAGTAATTTTGCAATTTTTCATTGTTTACTATATTTAATTGCTGTATTATTAATCTCAATTTATTCTTTTATTCTATATACATAGTGGTTAAGTAATTTTGTAACTTTTCTTTGTTTATTGTCCAATTGTCGGGTCAGTGAGGTCCATTTTTTTTTAAATGCCTTTGGGGTGTTTCGTGCGGTAATGCAATTGTGGAACAGCATTGCACACGATTAATAACGGTAGCATTGACAAAGCACCTATAATCATAAAGTGCACGTTGAACACGTCTGCGTATAGCAATGCGTAATTAACAGCAATCATAATAACAATAATAAAATGCATAGTGGTTAGGTATATTGCGTGTAGCAGAATAATGTCATACATCGTGAAGTTAATCGACTGTCGCTGTAATTTGTATTCCATTTTCAAGAGGTAAATTGTGTTCGTACAAATGTTCGAAATATCATTTCTTGTATTAAGTACGATTTATTAAAAAACGAGAATGTAGAATTTTGTGTGGTTGGTTTGTATATAGATTTTCTTTTTAAATAAATTTTTGTTTCGGTTTGTTTCGAATTTTTACCAGAAACAGTTACAGAATATCGTCGCAGTTAATTTTAGTAGCATTTGGGAGTTGCCAGTTACCACAATTCCCGTTCAATTTTCATAAGTTTCCTTTGAAGACCCCGGCGAGGTAAACCGTACACTTCATCAGGGAAAAATGGAAATTGAAACTTCCCCTTTGTCTTTGAAACTTCAAACTCTCGAGAAAGTTCGCGGCCGTCTCATAGAATCTCGCGTTGAAATTCATACTTGATCTGAAATTTTTCGTAGTCCAGAACCTGCTCCGTGAAACGAACACTTCCTAAATCCTTCATACAAAATACATTGTTAAAAAATGATTTTCGAAAATTCATAAATCCATATTGTTAAGTCATTAGGATTAATACGTTCCCAGACGCGGGCCTGGAAATTCTCCGGTCTTTCGCAGCGGTCATAAACCTGGGAGGCCATCGAGCTTTGAATTTCGATGTCTTTTCTATGGCCATTGTGCACATCTGCTTGCCATACTTTAGCTTTCTAGTCCTTCGATTTCTATTTGACCATGCTTCATTAGCGTCGAAGCGCCACCCAGATTTCTTACCTGCTGCGCCCATTGTTGGAGACACGCGGAGTTTCCGCGCGCGTCACTCAAGGGTGCACGGGCACTAGAGAGTGACCGTTGACTTGGGGGCGTCACCTTAGTTAGTTTTCGGTACCTGATGATTGCCAATCGCGTTAGATTCGAGTTCGAAAATGTAGTCGACCAACCCGCGTGTCTCACCCCCCGCTGAAGGCTCGTATCCGAGGTGTCTTGGAAATTGGCCGAGCCCTCGTTCGACAGAATCCGTCTGACAACCGTACGAGTAGTTCTTCGGAAAATAGTCGTTGTTAATAGTTATTTGTCCTCCTAAACACGGAGGTGGTCCTTGGAGAAACGAACGTAGCAAATTTAGTCGGCACCTAATTTGCAACTACTTAGAATTATCTTAGAATTATGGTAATAAATTAAAAGATATTATTTTAATTATGAATCTTCTTTATTTTTGATACGCGAGGAAGGCACGTCGCTATGCAATCAATCAAACAAAAAGCATGGGCAAGACGCAGAGTCATACTGTCTCAGTATGTTGATTATTTTTGCCGTTACTATTACACAGACACATACTCATTTCTCCTTATAATCCAACAACTTCAATTTCAATCTTCCCATAAACAAACTCTCCAACGTGACAAAACTTAATCGTCACATACACAAGTCATCATTCCTTATCCAAACGCGCTTCGTTCCCACATTCCCCGAAAGCAAAATAATCCCGTAAACCTAAGCGTATCAATAGCAAACAATCTTCCCAAATGAAAACTCGATTCTCTCGTTGAATGTCCATCGAAAGCGGGGGGGGAAAAAAAAGAAGAGAAAACCTAAACTCGTTCATTACGTTGCATCGATGGAACAGAAGGAAACAAGAGTTCCACGACGGATTGACATGCATGCAAACGTGACGTATTCCGCTTCTCTCCCTTGCATTCCTTTTTTTTTTTTTGCTCACTTTTTATTAACGAAAACGTTTTTGCACGATCAATTCCCCTGCCTTCACGGCGAGCCTCTGTCGAACGATTTGAAGTTCGCCAGCTCGA